CAGAATTCCCCAGCCAGCATTCGCTGGCTGGGGAATTCTGGGAGTTGAAGTCCGGACATCTTCAAGTTGCCAAGGTTGAAAAACACTGAACTAGACCCATGAATGACCATGGACAACCTTGCCCTGATGTTCACCAGATGTTAAACCAAAGCGGGGTGTTGCTGGCCTCCCTCTGCTCTTCCCCAATGCCGGGGGTGGGGGAGGGTAGGGAGACTTACTTGGTTATTGTGGGGCATCCCATACAAAGCCTCCACCAGATCGGCTGCTCTTTTCAGCAGGACTTCCTACGGGAGAGAGACACGGCTGAGATGAATACCTTGTTAACAAACCCTGTTAAAGAAGAACGCTTTCGATGGGAAATAACTCCAGAGGGCTGAACAAACCGGCTTGCTCCAACTTCATTAAATTAAATTAAAATTAACTTAATTAAAGCTTAACCGATCAGCTTAATTCCAACCTGGGATTAAGGAGAAATTCCCTGACAAGTGAGAACAATGAACCAGTGGAACAGCCGGCCACCAGAAGTTGTGGGTGTGCTGCATCGCTGGAGGTTTTTAAGAAGAGACTGGACAGCCAGTTGTCTGAAATGGTATAGTGTCTCCTGCTTGAGCAGTGGGTTGGGCTAGAAGACCTCCAAGGTCCCTTCCAACTCTATCCTGATTGATTGGTTGAGATCAGAAAAGTCCAATTAAGCTGTAAATCAGGAGTGTCCAATTTTGGTGACTTTAAAACCCGCGGACATTCTGGGAGTTGAAGTCCACGGGTCTAAAAGTCACCAAAATTGGACACTCCTGCCGTAAAACAGAATTCATGGAACAGCTTGAAATAAAGAAAAAAAAAACCATTAGCGGTTTTGGAGGGTCAGCTGTTCACACGATCTAGCAGGCCACCCTTCTTCCTCTCCTGGAGACCTTCCAGACACATTGTGCTCCCTCTCTGATCATCCTAGAGTTCCTGGCCAAAACATCTGGCAGGCATCCAGCGGCCGGAAGGGTTCTTTGCAAAGATCGGACAGCTGTGGAGACCGTCGGATGCATTCAGTACATCACAACGAGACCAACGCTTTGTGTGCATTTCGACAGGGGGACGCCCCCCCCCCACGACTCCAGGGCGTCCGCCTACGGTATTGGCCCTCGGCAACTCCATCTGGTGATGATGGGATCTTTCCTTGGGCCCTTCCTGTTGCCAAAAACTGGGCCCAGGCGCCTTCTCTAACTTCTGCATTCCAAGAATCAGGATGGAGTTTGTGGCTTGGGGTGTGGCTGTTACGATTTGTGGAACACAGCAGCTCATCAAAGCTCCACTTGTATTCCGCTCCCCCCCCCCCACCTCCCGAACCGAAGTTTATCAACGTGGGAGAGGAATTGAATGCATCCGGAGGCGGCCTTGGCAGTGTTGACCGAGAAGGGTTGCCAACTATTCTTCCAATTTCAAGGATTGTTCTTGATGTTGTTGTTGTGCGTGAGGTGGTCGTCTTTGGTTGGATCACAAAGCCATCGCTTTGCTTGGATGGAAACCAGCTGAAAAATTGTGGGGGCTATGCAAATTTTTCTTCCTCCTCCTCCTCCTGTCTCTTCCTCCTCCTCTTCCTTCCTCTGCCTTTTCCTGCTTCTCCTGTTTCTTGTTTCTCTTCTTCTTCCTCCTCCTCTTCCTCTTTCTTTTCTTCCTTTTCTTCCTCCTCCCCCTTTCGTTCCTCCTCCCCTGCCTTTTCCTGCTCCTCTTCCTCCTCTTCCTTCTCCTCCGCCTTTTCCTGCTCCTCCTCCTCTTTCTCCTCCTCCTCTTCCCCCTCCTCCTCAGTCCAGGGATTATAAACTTGTACACTGTCCAGAGTCCCTCTTTGAGGGAGATTGGTAGTTGGGTAGTATGAAATATAATTAGATAGATAGATAGATAGATAGATAGATAGATAGATAGATAGATAGATAGATAGATAGATAGATAGATAGATAGATAGATAGAGATAGATG